GTCATAATATCAACAGCTATATATTGTGTGTGTGTGTGTGTGTGTGTGTGTGTGTGTGTGTGTGTGTGTGTACACAGCATACCACTTGTTTCTTTCCACATTTTTTAGTACAAGGTGCCCTACGTCACTGTCAAGAAACTTCTCACACTCCATGCTATACATCAGCATTTTCAATCTAAAGAAACACATAATAACAAAAAGGCAATAACAATTCAGGAGAATTTGAATTAACTTGTGTTTTATTTATTTCAAGCTTTGTGTATTATAGAAACAGTAATAAACATGCATGCATGAAAAGATTATAATTTTTGATGTACACATAATTTTCTGATGGCTTGCAATAATCTATGTCCTCACACATCTATGGCCACTGGTTAAAAATTACTACTAAACTTTCTCAGTTGATCTATACTTATAGCATGAACAGACACTGTTTATACTTTGGACATATTTTAAATTATTTCAAAAACCATGATCCATACATAGCCAATTCCAAACTGAACATAGCTCAAAGCAGCAGAAATTTGAAGTAATGTATGCATAATTACTATTTTAGTAGTAGTCATCAAGACAGTAAGAGGTCATTATATAAACAAATTTGGCAGAAAAGCTGGTTGAATTTAAAGAGCCATGAGAAAAGAAAAAAAGGCCACAATATTTCAATTTTTCTCCCATTATGTTCTGTATCTGTAGAAACACAAAAATATTTATAAGACATGCAGAAAAGTTGCACTAGTGTTAACTCTGATTTTACTTTCTCTTGCCTACATTTGTGTTGTAGGATACCATCTCTGCACCAAATTCCTCAATTATTTCTGTGCATGCTCAGGGACACCTTACTAGATGTCCTTACTAGTAAGCCTGATGCTTACTAGAAAGCCCAGTGAGTTATAACATGGCATCTGCCTTTATTTTACAATTCTCCTCCATTTCTACCTCCTCACTGAGTACTGCTACATCAGCCACTCACCACAGCTGGGATTTCTCAAACTGCCAAAGCCTTACAATGTTCTGTGAAGTGGGAGAGAATGACCTCACTCCCCTTTTTACAAAAATCTCTTGGAATACAAAGAAGATATTTCATTGCATACCAGTGTCTTACAAAGCTTTCATGAAAATACTTATTTTTAGTTGTATTTATAGCACTCTTTCCTTAATACATGAGACATGAGAGAGGCTGGGTCACAGACACTGCCAAGTGACAGAGACTCCGCCCTTCAAATACTAAGACTTTGATGTAGGGCCACACATGTCTATTAGACACTTCCCAGAGTGAATCTTGATAGGCTTTGTCAGCACTCTTTCTGAAAACTTCTATCATATACAAATCCCAGGAATAGGCATGGCTGGGCTTAAGATGGGTCTGGCTGGCGTTGGAATGCTCAGGGAACTGCCATAAGCTTTAAGAAGCAGAGCTGGAATTCCAGGCTTCAGAACCTCTTTCCACTGTACTAATTTGCATCTTGTTAAAAAAAAAAAAAACCCACATCATTTTTTACATAATTCATTAGAAATACAGAATTTCCATTCTTTATCAGAATTATATTGCTATAATCAGCATACTTTGTACATTGTAACCTTTCTTAGATATTATTCAGTCATAAGGTATAAAGGGAAAATTAGAAAGGACAAAACAGAAATGTTCTATGTGTTTAACACGCATTTAAATCTCTTTCAGAATATGCAGTGATTGTTTAGCACAGTGCTAAGTATAAGTACACTCAGTAAGCTATAGCTATTGTTATCTGTATAATCACCTCATTTGATATTTATACCATGATGTAAATTGGAAATGAAGACATTGAGACCCAGAAGGCACACAACTAGATTTTAAGCCCAGAACTGCCTGGTCCCAAAGCTCATGTGTACCTCACTATACCACCTTGTGTTATCCCTTCCTCTCCCCACCCACTAAGTATTCCTGTGCTCCCTTCTGATCTCTTACATCATCCTGCCCCCTGAGACCTCATCCCATCTGTACTAGAGTTTCCACTCTAGTTTCATCGTATTACTCTCTCACTGCAATCATGAAAAAAGCAATTTAGAATTATTTACTAGGCCCTTGTGTCAACTAATGTACCATGCATGCTTGTATATGAGTTAATAGATACTAATTGCCTTAAATGTTTTACTACTTGATGTAATAATTCTAAACTCACAAATTCAGTATCCGTCAGAAGGTGATAAAGATTTGGCTATTACCTATAAGTAAAAATTATTATAAAGAGATACTAAAAGAGCTATTCATTTTTGGTTCTGTCTATGGGAATGCAAAATATATATTAAATCATTTGGTTAAGAAAAGCCTCAAAGAATATAATCATCTGTGTACTTTGATAGCATTACCCACTAATTATTCACTGCACAATTTTAAAAAGTGTTTAGTTTTTAACACTGTTATAGATGCAGTAAAGCAATTAAAATAGGTATATATTATTTTTGATGTGCAGTGGTTACATGTATATAAAACTTCAGTCACTTTTTCAAAAATAACTTTTGGATAATGAAGCACAGGGAAAATTTTTAGCAAGTAATAGAAATCTTGAAAGTTCAAATGTTTGTATTTTAACCAAGAAAGCAATTGATTCATAAAATCAATTCTTGAGACATTCAGCTTTCTGAATATCTGCGAGTCTAAATTCTATCTGGAAAGCTTTTTCACTGATGCAAAATACCAAGAAACAACTGTTCCTTTTTGTGTATTTGATGAATCTTTTTCAACTATAATTTATTAGTGTCTAACATGAGCCAGATTTTGTAGTAAGGCTTATATTCATGACCTCATTTATATTTCCCAACAATCTTAAAAGGTAAGGATTATTATCATCATTATGCAAATGAGAAAACATACAGTAGTAGGATTTTGAGATTTTTTTTAGGGCAGCCCTTAAAATTCTTTGTTATCCTAGGAAAACTAAATAGATGAAACAAAGTAATATGAATGTGAACAACAGATTCATGAGAATACAAATTATTGTTATGAATTTTTTAAATTTACAATTTAGACCTTATTTATACAATTCACCAAGTCCTTAAACCAGTCTTTTCAAGAGTTTGAATGCTGAGTCATTCCATTTTTCTACTTCATTTACAGTAACACTTTGAAAACCTCTTTATCTGTTTTCTCCAGGATGTAAGAGAAGAATTCATCTGCTGAAAGTGTTGTAGGAAGAAAAATGGAGGATGGTTTAGGCGGTACAAAATATTACTTAGGAAAAAGGAATTTGCTCTGAAGTCCTGAAAAAGTTTCCAGGCAGCATTGGGCATCCAGTTGTAAAGAACACGAATTACAGTGGTAGAATTTTGCAGCTTTTTAAGGCAGCCCTTAAAACCCTTTATTATGCCAAGAGAACTCATTAGATTAAATGGAATAATATGAATGTGGGATACTAGAAAACTACAAGATAATCTCCTGTGTGGAATGAGAGTAAGAATCTGGAAGAAGTAGTAGCTAGGAGCACACACACACACAACAGAGTAAACTGCTTTGACATATTATAGTGCATCTCAAGGCACTTGATTAAATTGTTATTTACTTGATAAGTAAATCGTTGTTCAGAGCTGCTAGCAGATCAATCTAGAATTGAATTTTCTTGATATTTTAATGGATTCACAAAAGATAGACCTATGCTGTATGAAGCACCAGAAGCCACATCCTTCCACACTGAGGAGGCCACCCAAAGACCTCAGAAGGCTTTCCTCTCAAGTTGTTTCCTCTGCTTCTTTTATGCATATATTGAGAAAGTTTCCATCTATCTTGTGACTTGGCTGTAAAAAGCAAGCAAGTTTGTAACAGCATATGAAATTCCTTTTCTAAAAGTGTTCTAAGACATTTCCCTGGTAACCATGTCAGATTTCCACTTAGCTCTTTCCTCCTTCCATGGTGGATAAATAATTTCTTTGTAGCACTACCTCGTAAGTCCCTTTACCACAGGAGGGCCCTGATGGTAATACCTGTGGCTTACTTCCTGAACATTATAAAACATGAGTGAACAAATCCCTTTTTAAAAAACGCTCACAAGAGAAAGAACAAGACACAAAACTGTATATACAGACCAATTACAAATCAGTTTCCATATATAGAAAACAAAAAGAACAACAAAATGTTAACTGCAATTATCTTCCAATGGTGAAAATTCAAAGTTTTTTTCTTCCTTTTTTGTACTTTTTTGGTTTTATACATATTTTATTTAATAAACATGTATTTTAATGATTAAAACTTAAGCAATTTTAAGTAAATAAAAGTATTCATAGAGTTATTTCTTCACATCTACCAGGAAATATTGTTTCACTGCATTTAAATAGCACAAAGAAATCATAGAAATTGGTCTGTCTTTCTTCATTGGCCTTCAACACAGAAAAATAACATCTTTTTAAATTTTTTAGGAATATATAATAATTGTACATTTGTAAGTTACATATGTTATGTCAATATAAGCCTACAATGTATAATGTATAATACATTTCTATATGATGTATAATACACACAATTTATAAGGTATGTTATCCCAATCAGGGCAATTGGGATAAAATTCATCCCAAGCATTATCATCATTTGTTTGTGTTAGGTACTTTTCAACTCCCCTCTTTTATTTATTTTGAAACATGCAATAAATTATTGTTGACTAAGAAAAATAGTGTTCTAGTTCCAATGTTGCACAAAAAATTATAGGACAGTTAAAAGGTGAAGGATATTTAAATTTCTTCCTAGAGAGTAATTTACAGTGTTACTCAATTTGTATTGGGCAATTCTTAGTCAAATCAGTAAATTCTGATATATTTAAAGAACCTTAGAATAGTCTGTCATTAAACTCCATTATGTTAGTAGCACCTTTAGCTTTTCAGAATTGAAGATAGAAATGAAAGATTCTGACATTAACCTCTATATTCCAGGGTACAAGGTATTAGCAGCTAAACGTTTTTTGTTAAAAGCAATATTCAAAAGAAGGATATATTTAAGCATATGTGATTTATATTTGCATTATTCTCTCCCTTTTTAGGTAGTATACGATGAAGTCACAGAGCTTCAAGGACATGTCTTAATGCTTATTGTGAAGAGCAAAACTGTGTTTGTGGGAGCAATTAACATCCAACTCTGTAGTGTCCCGCTCAATGAAGAAAAATGGTATCCACTAGGAAACAGTATAATTTGACCACTGCTATGAACATATGTATTATTCATTAATTACCTGGTTTTTTTTTTCTTTTCTAGACCTCATTATCACATAAGCCAAGCATCTTTGTTGTCAAAAATAGCATAGGGTATTAAGGACACTAGAAAAAAAAATCAGAATCAGTCTTTTGTTGTTGTTTATTTACTCTTATGCTTTTATTGTTTCTTTGACTCTTTTCTCCTTAAATGGAGTGCTAATTATATAAAATTTAATATGTAAAATAACTAGTGGACATTTAATTTAAATATACCTTTTAAATCAAACATATGTTCACGTTTTAATTGTTAGTCTACAACGAAAAGCAATACTTGTAATGTATTTTACAAGAAAGACAAGTAAATAAATCTCATCAATTAATTCAAGACATAAGTATATCTGTAACAGATTCTTAAAATTTAAATATATATGCTTACATAACCACTCAAATCTTATTTCTTGAGAGAATTGGTAAGCCCTGGCAGAATGCAATATTACTTTCTGTTAGAAAAACAAAACATAAATGCCTGAAATTCTTAAATCCAATTGTTGATAGAAATGTCTTTTTATTTTTTCACTCCTTTTAACACCAATCCATTGTCACTGAATTTCTCCCATCCAGAGACATGATTTAAACTTCATTACTGCTGAATTTCAAGATCTCAAAGGCTGAAATTTTCCCTTCTGATCTAAACCTCTTAACATTGCACATTGTTTTCCTTACTTCTGAACCTACCTTCAAAGTCATGAGTAGGTCCAACCCAGAGCACTATGCCATATTTTTTCCAAAATCAAATTGAAGACTTTTTATATCCCAATTTAAAAAAACACACACACAAGCCCCTGCTTATTCAATGCTTTCCTGTGTATAAGTAAAAAAATATTAAACTATTTTGTATGGTCATCTACATAACCATATAAACATGTAGAAGTCTGTATGCTTGTTCATTGAAAAATATTTGAGTGTTTGAGATGGGCTGATATGAGCTCATCTGAAATTCATGATCGTGCAAGTCAAGTAAATTCTTCATGCTGCTGGCAACTACTCCATATGTTTCTACTCTACTCACTCTGCCTTTCTGCTGGACAATTATTACACACTCTTCTCTGTTGAGCCTCAGCACTTCCTCCCTTAATCTTCACTTTCAACTAATAACTTTGTTTCTTACTTCACTTAGAAATTAGAATTGATCATAAAAACCTTTTCAGATTTCCACTACTGCAAATTCTGTTCCACCTTCCTAACTATTACCAGGGAGGAACTACCCATGTGCCTACCCAAATGGGTGTCTCAACTTGTACATTTGATGTTGTCTCTTCTGACCTACTCAAAACATTACCACTAGAATTCTCTTCTACTCAAAAGCATTGTTTCTTTACTGTCTAGTGGACAATCATCATTAGCATACAAGCAGGATGTTATTTCTCCCATTATAAAACACTTCCCGTTGTCCACTTCCTTGCCAAATGCTAACCCATTGCCTTGCTCCTGTTTGCAGCAAAAACTCTTCAAAAGTTTCTATGCTGGGCTCGGTGGCTCAGCCTGTAATCCCATGCCTTGGGAGACTGAGGTGAGTGGATTGCCTGAGCCCCCGGGGTTCGAGACCCGCCTGGGCAACTTGGCGAGCCCTCATCTTTACAATAAATCGAAAAAATGAGCCAGGTGTGATAGCGCGCACCTGTAGTTCCAGCTACTTGGAAGGCTGAGATGGAAGGATCGCCGGAGCCCAGCAGGTCGAGGCTGCGGTGGCCGGGAGCGGCCACTGCACTCCAGTCTGGGCAACAGAGTGAGACTCCAACTCAAAAAAAAAAAAAAGTTGTTTCTACTGTCTCCGGTTTCTGTCATCTAATTTTCTCTTAGATCCATTTCAAGCAGGTGTTTTCCCCCACCAGTTCAATGAAACTGCATTTGTCAAGATCACTATTGACCTCTAATTAGCTAATTCTAAAGGTTATCTTTCATCTCTAATCTGACTCTACCTATTGACAGTATTTGACACAATAAGTAGCTGTCTTCTTCAATACTCTGTCTTTATGTGACTGGTATACCACTCTCTCTTGTGCATTAGTTTTATAACATTGGTCTCTCCTTCTCTATCTTCTGTGAAACAGAGGTATCTTCTCTACTACCTTTAATGTTGGAGTGTCCTAGGACTCACTCCTTGGTCCTCTGTTCCATCAAGTTTCACTCCTTTAATGATCTCATCCACTTACAAGGTTTTAAATATAATCTGTATGCTGATTCTCCGTTTTATAGCTCCAGCCTAGAATCCCTCCCAGATTCCAGATATGGGTACAAAACTGCCAATTCAATATCCATCTTGAATATCCAGTAAATTACTCAAATTCAGTATCTCCAAAATTAGACTCCTAATCCCTTTCCCCAAGCCTGTTTTATCTACAGCCTTTTCGCTTTTAGTTGAAGACCAAACACTCATTCAGATGTCACAAGCAAAAAACTTGAAGCCAATCCTAATATCTCTCTTTCTCTCTCTCTCTCTCCCCCCACCCATGTATATAAATTCAGCTGTGGGAACTAATTTCTTTGTACTTCTTCATCCTCTTTTTAAAACCCATCAATCCACTGTCACTAAATTTCTCCCATCCAGAGGCATGATTGAAACGTCATTATCCCTGAACTTCAAGATCTCAAACTCTGAAACTTTCCCTTCTAATGAAACCATGTTATCTCTGCACATTGTTTTCCTTACTCTGAACCTACCTTTATAGTCATCATGACCTGAGTAAACAATCCTAAAGATTTCCATCTGCAGGATGGTAATTCTTTAAGAGAAATAAACAGGAGGTATTTTTAATCCTTGTCATTCAAATTACTGAAAAAATTTAAACCCTTGCTTATTCGATGTTTTCTGTGTATGAATTCAAAAACTAAGTTATTTTGTATGGTCACATACACAACCATATAGACACATAAAAGTCATTTATTTTAAAGTGTTTGAGCACCTGGTATGAGCTGATATGGGTTAATTTGAAATATATATATATATATTCTAATCCATCAGAAATTCGTGTTGATTCTATCTTTAAAATATATCCCAAATCCAACCACTTATCACCTTCTACCTGCAAATTCTCAGGTCCAAGTTACAGTGATCATCTATCCTGGATTATATAATTGCCTTCTAAACAGTCTCCTTCTTTCTATGCTTACTCTGACCCCTTATAGTCTATTCCCAACAGTGCAACTGAAATGATTATATCATTCTTCTGTTCAAAACTCTGCAGGGACTTCTAATGTCAGAGTAAAAGCGTAAGCCTTTAAAATAACTGAAAAGGCCCTATGTAATCTGACCTCCTATCACCGATTCTCTGATTTTAACGCTTATTATATCCTCCTATGCTCATAGCACTCAAGTAACACTGGTCTCCTTCCTGTCTCCTGAGCACTTCAGGCATGCTCCATCCTTGAGATCTTTGATCAGCTGTATCCTTCTCCCCAAAATGTGTGTTTATCCCATATATCCACCTTCCCAACTCCCTTGCCTCTCTGAAGTCCTGCTTAAATGTCTCCATCTCTGACATACCTACTCTGGCCATCGGTGTGCTATCGCAAGCTGCCCTGTCCCTGGATACACACCAGATAATTTTTATTCTGCTCTTCTTTTTTTCTTATACACCTACCATCTTTTTTTTTTTTTTTTTTTTTGTGTTGGAGTCTCACTCTGTCACCCAGACTGGAGTGCAGTGGCCGCTCCCGGCCACCACAGCGTCGACCTGCTGGGCTCTGGCGATCCTTCCGCCTCAGCCTTCCAAGTAGCCGGAATTACAGGCATGCGCTACCACGCCCGGCTGATTTTTGATTTATTGTAGAGATGAGGTCTCGCTGCCCAAGCGGGTCTTGAACCCGCGGGCTCAGGCAATCCACTCACCTCAGCCTCCCAAAGGCGCGGGATTACAGGCTGAGCCACCGAGCCCGGTTTACACCTACCATCTTTAAACATTTTATAAAATTTATTTATTTAATTTGCTTGTTATTTATTTTTTGTTTCCCTTCACTAAACCATAAGCCCTAAGGCTGTAAAAGTAGTTTTATTCTTAGACCTCGGTAAGTAAGAATAGCTCTTGCATTGGTACCCTCGCCATTTATCTCCTGTAATCATGACTCTTAGCCACACCCAAAGTGCTTATTCTAGACCGCAATTTGGATACCTAATGACTTGAAAATTTCCTACCTGAGCAGTTTTTGCAGGCTTTTTCTCTGGTTCTATTTATCTGAAGTAAGACTATACCACTAATGTGAGGAATATCTAGGCCCCAGAGGTGACCAAGGGAAGGCTCCTTGCAAAGTATATGAATGTAGCTTGAATGTGTCAGTTGAGTGTTAACAAACATGTGAATGAGGCCACCCATAGTGCAGGAGGGAGTCAGGGGCACGAAGAGAAAGAAGGACATGCAGGAGGTTGCAGGATAGGGACTAGCCCTTTTCATTCCACAATAATCCAGCATGGATCTCTAAAGATTCCAAGAATTCTAAATTGAAGCCCATCCATCCAGGTGTCTATGAAATTATATTTATCGTAAGAGAAGAATAAAACATATAGTATTTGTTAGACTGTTAGCTTTATTTATAACTTTTAAACTCAGGCATATGGGATGTGAGAATTATAGATTAAATCATATGATCCCCAAAATTTATTTGTTGAAGTACTAACCCCCCAATACCTCAGAATGCAACATTATTTGGAAAAAAAGTTCACTACAGATATAATTAGGATATTTTGTATGTATGTGTAAGTTGGGTCCTTAATCCAAAATGACTGGTGTACTTATGAAAGCAGGAAATTTGGGCACAGATCTGCACACTATGAGAATGCCATAGGAACTTGAAGGAAGAGATGAGGGCAATGCATCTATGAACTAAGGATCACCAGCAAACTACCCTAGACTAGGAGAGAGGCCAGGAATAGATTCTCCCTCACAGTCCTCAGCAGGAACCAGTTCCTGATCTTGGACTTATAGCATGCAAAACTGTGAGGGGAGAGGAATTCTGTTATTTAAGCCATTCAGTTTGTAATGCTTTGTTATAGTGGCTCTAGCTGACTAATACATTGGGTTATCATTTGTTGCCTTGTTCCAGTCTCGCAAAAGTTTGGCACATTGTTGTTGTTGCCTTTTAATTTGGGAACCAATGTCTAAACAAATTATTAAATTACACTTCTGGAACAAGAAAAACAAGATCTCTAATCTTCACTGACATTCATATGATGTTTTAAAGTTCCTTTTTATATCTATATTTTATTGGCACCCCACAAGAAGTCTAAT